CGGTGTATGAGCCAACAATTGGAAGGAGCAGCCACATATATTCAAATGGAAAGTAAAACATGGGGGGGGCGGGGAAATGAATAGCGAGGAAAGCTAACCGCTGGAATAAACTTCCGATGGAAGTGACCGGGTCACCATTCCTTGACATCTTCAGATCAAGACAGACTACCATTCTGGAAGGCCGGTTTCAGTTGTGTGAGTTACTAGATGGACAAACAGCCTGTTACATACAGGAGGTCAGAGATTTTGGAACCAAGAGTTCTAGTTTTTTGTATGTCTTTTTGACTCAGACCAACACAGCTACTAACTAAGTACACCCCTGAAACATGGAAGATGCCAAATTTTAGCTGATTTTGGATTTTAACCTTCACTGCAGAACAACAGGGAAGTTTTTTTACCTCCCTGCCTGCCATCTGACACCTCCAGGGAAGGAATTCTACCTGATCAGCACAAAGAGCTACTCAACACAAGAGAACCAAGCGGACCCAGAGGAGGAGGCGTTGAGTGATCGTCATAGGTGACTCCATCCTGACAGGTACGGAAGGGCCCATTTGTCGCCAGGACCCCACAACACGAGAGGTATACTGCCTGCCCGGAGCAAAGATTCAGGACGTGACGGGAATAATCCAGGCCATGATTCAGCCCACCAATTACTACCCCACGGTCCTTGTCCATGTGGGTACTAATGATGCGGCCAGGAGAAGCCCCGATCACCTGACGACAGACTACCATGCTCTGGGCGGCGTGCTGAGGGAGATCGGTGCACAGGTGGTATTCTCTTCTGTCCTACCAGTGAGCGGACGTGGAAGACGACACGAGAACTGCATTAGAAAGACCAACTGGCGGCTTCGGCAATGATGTCTCGAGTCAGGCTTTGGCTTCCTGGACAACGACCCGCACATCACGACGAGGGACATGCTCAGTTGGGATGGGCTTCACCTGTCCCCCAAAGGTAAGCGAGTGTTCTCTTCTAGGTTGGCGGATCTCCTCCGGGGGGCTTTAAACTAGGCTCGTCGGGAAGAGGGGAAGATGAGGGCGGGGGAAGCCGTGGACCACCAAACCATGGGGCACCCACAA